CACGGACATGCAAGGCTAAGCACGGCCGTGCCAAGTTTGGCACGGACGTGCAGAGGGGGCAGAATTGAGGCAGAACATACTGCTAAGAATCGAGCAGTTCCGCACGGACGTGCAGATATTGGCACGGACGTGCAGCTACATCTGCACGGACGTGCTTAATTTGGCACGTCCATGCAGGCCTTGGCAGAATGTTCTGAGTTTCTGGAGCACTTCTGCACGGACGTGCAAAGTCTGGCACGGTCGTGCATCCTCTTCTGCACGGACGTGCCAGATTAAGCACGGCCGTGCAGGCCTTGGCAGCTTGCTGAAGCTTTCTGGAACCTCCTGCACGGACGTGCAAGGTCTGGCACAGCCGTGCAGGGTCTTCTAAACCCCCTTTTTTTCATCTTTTCTTCTATAATGCTCCTTTCCTTGGCTTCTTTCATCCATCTTCTTGCTTCTAACCTCGGCTTTGTATCCATGGGCTCCATTTGGTCGTTCTTTTGAACCTAAAATCTCAACAAAAACACCAACAACCCGTGAAGCATAGGATACACAAGAATTGCATAATAATAGAGTAAAAATGAACCAAAACGCAATTTATATCAAGTAAACTAGGTTCAAAACACCCTAAAATCGTATCAAATAGCAAGTTATCAAATCCCCCCAAGCTAAGCTTTTGCTCGTCCTCGAGCAAAACAAAAATGTCAAACCAAAGGAGGAAAACAAATTGCTAATCATCAATCCAAGGAGAGGCAACAAGGGGGAAGCATACATAAACAAATCCGCATGGTGACAACCATCATCACTTTTAGCACAAGTGAGAAGCAATTTAAACCTCTAAGTCGCCTTAGAGGACGAGTTTTTATCTCGTGAGGGTTTCCAATGAGTTTGCCCCACAACTCACGCAGTCCACAGCACATCGCCAAAAATCGCACAAGTTCAATTTTTCGCCCAAGTCAACTCATCGGGATATGAGACACAAGCAAGACGAGTGAACGACTTTCAAGAATTACCGATCATACAAATGTACACATGAGTTGGGGGTAGAGAGGAAAACTAAAGAAGGTTGCACTAGGATACTTCCTTTGGCCTTTTACTAGTTCATTAGAGCACACCTAGATATTCCAAAGTTGTAATGAGCCCTCTTTCGGTTATAAAATCTCAAAATGCTAGTCCACCTCCCAAAATGCACACCCAAGGCCCCTTAATTACACTCTAACTCGGGAATTTCACAAGAAACAATAAGCAACAAATTCGACAATGTGTGGGAGGCATCCACAAGTTGACCTCTAAAGAAAAGAAAATCAAAATTTTGAGAATTTTTGGGGGAGTTTTTTTTTTGTTCTCCCTTCTTTTCTATTTATTTTTTTTATTTTTTTTTTCTCATTTTTTTTTTACATTATTGCCCTCGCCTCTTTTAACTGTGAGCGGCTCTTTCTTTATTCGAAACGTGTGGCTTATTATGCCACTTATTACACATAATACAAGTATAACCAATTCCCTAATAGAGTTTCATTTCGGGGAGGAAGCGAGGCACATTAAGGGCACAAGGGACCGCAATTTGACTCAAACATATCCTACTTTGGGCAAATTTAACAATATCCTATGCTAGATGTGCAATTGAGCATTCATCGACTTTCATTTCATATACACTAATGCAACCAGGATTAATAGACCTCTAAATGACCCCAACTCTTGCATGCACCCTTCTAAAAGAACTTTTACTCATCACTCAAGAGTCAAGCAAGCAAAACATATTAGCGTCGTCATTTGAGTTTCATCCTTGGGCAATCTTTTCATTTTTCAATATTTTTTCGTTTTTCGAATTTTTTTTTTTTTTTTTTTGAGTAAGAAATGAAAAATTACAGCATTGGGCTAGCTAAACTAAGCATAAAAAAAAAAAAATAATAATAATAAAAAAAACTATACAACTAAATGAAAAGATAAGAGAGGTATTCACAAGATAAGAAATTTGGATTTAGGGTATTGGATTTCAAAGGGAGCAAATTTGGATTTAAAGGATTTGGATGTTAGGGAAGAAGAGAATGGGAAAAACCAACATGCAAACTCAATCATGGAAACACGAAAACACAACACGAACCAATGACACATGAGAGAACACTCCACTCCCCCCAAGCTATCATAAACATTGTCCCCAATGTTAAAGCCATGCAAGCACAAAGAGAAGGGGAGGAAGAAACTAACTCATTGGTTCGGGCCCCCTTGGGAGCTTGAGCCCCCTGGGTAGAAATGCCGGTACATAGTGCGGAAATCGCCCAACTCCGATCTGAGACCTTCGAAACTTGTTCTCATGTTGTCAAAAGAAGTCCTCATATCTTCGTTTGATCTCCTTAAGGTCTCGAATTCGGTGGTCATGCGGGCAAAATTTGCATTCATGTTGGCTACCTGCTGCTCAAAAGAGATGTATGGGTTATTTTCACCCACACCTTGATCTTGGTAACCCTCTTGGTCCCCTTGTTGGAACTCGTGTTGTTGATGAAATTGCTGTTGCTGAAATTGTTGATGATGTTGGTGTTGTTGAAATTGTTGATGATGTTGCTGCTGTTGTTGTTGTTGTTGTTGATGGAATTGTTCCTCACCGCCTTGGGGTTGGTCATCTTCTCCACCCGGAATCCACTCAAAATCCGGCTCAAAGACCCAATTCTCGGGGTTGTAAATAACCGTGGCTTCCGGATTTGGCAAAGTTGCATAGGGGCGCCTACTTACCATCCACGTGTAGGTCCTACCCTCTTCATCTTCCTCCAACCAATGCATAGCCTTGAGGGAGCGGATGTCAAGTGTCGTTGGCCCGGGAATGATTTCCAAATCTGCAAAATTAAGATCGAGAAAAGCAGCAATAATAGTGATCATCCCCCCAATTGTTATCACTCCACTCCCCGAGGATACATCATCTAGGTGGTCTACAAGCCAAGCCCCTAAGTTCAACCTCTCGTCACCCTCACTCAAGTGCCAAAGAAAAAGCAACTCACGGTTAGAAACTACACCCAAACTATCTCCCCTAGCAAAAATAGTATTAGCTATTAGGCGCTGGGATAGTCTAAAGGCGGGGTGTACTATGGCCGTGGCCTTGTCGGTCCTAGGATCTCTAGTAAATAGGCCGGTGATTTTTCTCCAAAAAGATCCCGAGTTATGCTTTCGGGAAGGCTTATCCTTAGGTCCGAATTTGCCATCCGTTGGCCACCCAAATGCTTGGTTCACTTGTTCTATGGTCATCTTGTGATGGGTGTTCATCAATTGGAAGGTCAGGTAACGGGGGTTGTTGCGGTTATCTCGGTGGACATATAGTGAGGAGAGGAATTCTAAGGTAAGCCGTTTATAGGTGTTAGCATGCATTTCTAACCAATTTGGGACACCGGTTTGAAAAAAAAGTTGCCTCACATCATTCTCTACGCCTAAGGCTTCGGCTACCTCATGGTTGTAAAATTTCGTTGGCCGAATTCTTCTCCTACTAATTCTTAGGTAGCTGTCCATGATATCCGAATTATTAAAGACAATACCTAGGGTGTCCACTTGTGGTGGTTCGACGGTTGATGGTGGTGGAGGGTTTCTAAGCCTAGCGGATGAGGTGTTTCTTGGTTGGTTTCTTCTTGACATGATCAAAAAAAAGTTTTAGAACACTTCAAGCAAGCACAACACCTAATGAACAAGTATTTGAACACACAAGGCTCTAAGTCTTCCACCTAACCAACACACAACAAGAACAAGCCCGAAAATTGAAATTTACCAACAATGATCTTATCAATTCAAACAATCAAACATCAAAATTGTCAATGTGCACAATTTACCAACAACAAATCAACAATCCAACACCAAAAGCATCCATACTCACACAAACCTATCACCAACCAAAATTTCAATGCTCTCAATTCACGCAAATTTTTTTTTTTTTTTTTTTTACTACTAAACTATCAACAATCACAATTACTTAACAAAATGTCAACAATTTCAACTATTACTACTCATAAAATCGACCAACAAGCATTTAAACTACAAAGGAAGAACTTGAGATTAGAAAGATTATACCAAGAATATCGTGGGTGTAGAACCCGCAAATGAACCTTTCTAGTACTCCTTGTTGTTTATTGATGGTCCTTGTTCACCCAATTTGCTTAAAGAATCAAAATTCAAGAAACCCCCAAATCAATTTTGAAAGTTAGGGTTTGAGAAAATTTTGGTACTTTGGGGTTTTGATGGTGAAAAGGGGTAGTAATTTGTGAAGAAGGTTGAAAGAGGAGTGAAAATTGTAGATTAGAGTTGGGATTTAAGTGAAAAATGGAGTTTGAAGAGTGAGAAATAGGAAGTATGGAGTTTGAAGGAATAGTATGAAGTATGGAGTATGGAGGATGAAGGAGAATTTGAGTATGAAAGAGGAGTGAGAATTGTGAGTATGGGGGGGGGGTCTTTGCTATTATAATTTTTTTTATTTTATTGTTATTTTTTTTTTTTTAGTAAGAAACCGTCATATTGCTGTGCAGGCTGAATCTGCACGGACGTGCAGATTTTGGCACGGACGTGCAGATTCCTGGCAGAATGGCAATCTGTTCTGTCTTCGAGCGCACGGACGTGCAGTAGTTGGCACGGACGTGCGAACCTTCAGATTTCACTAGTCAGGTTCTGCCTTCGTCTGCACGGACGTGCGATGTTCTGCACGTCCGTGCAGACCTGATGGTGCACGATTTCTTCTTCTTTCCCCTTTTTTTTTATTTATAGAAACCTACAAAAAATATATATATATATAAGTAAAAAAAAAAAAAAAAAAAAAAAAAAAAAAAGGGATAAAAATAATAATAAAACAAATGAAATAATAATAATTGAGGGGGAGTGAGGAATTCGGGTTGCCTCCCGGTAGCGCTTCTTTAACGTCACTAGCTTGACGACATTGCGGGATCAAATGTTAGTGAGGAATATCGAACTCATCAAGGTGAACAACTTTTGCCTCTTCATTCAAAAAAACATCAAAGTACGCTTTTAGCCTTTGGCCATTTACTTTGAACGGTTCACCATTCTCTTTGGCAATTTCGATTGCACCATATGGGAACACCTTCTTGACGGTAAAAGGTCCACTCCTCTTTTGCCTCCACGTTAAGCACTTCAAATTTTATCATCTCGTGGGCCAAAGGTTGGTTGAGCAAGAGATCATACCCCTTTGCTTCTTCACCCTCCTCAACAAAGCTTCCCGTTAGGGTAGCTTGTAAAGGATCTCTTTCATACAATCTTTCTCGGAACTCTTCTAAGTCCCTCTCCAATGTGTCAATTCTATGAACTTCATCAATCAATGGCTTTTTTAAAGTTTGTGAGAATGAAAATGAAATTTTCTCATCTCCCACATTTAAAGTCAATCTTCCTTCCTTCATATCAATCACCACTCCCGCGGTGTTCAAAAATGGTCTCCCCAAAATGAGGGGTACTCTTGAATCTTCTTCCATCTCCATTACTACAAAATCACACGGCACAAATACTCTTCCAACTTGAACTGGCACATCTTCAAGAATCCCCAAAGGTAGCCTAACCGTGCGGTCGGCTAGTTGTAAGGACATTCTTGTTGGTTTCAAGTCTCCAACTTTCAAGGTCTTTGCAATAGAATAGGGCATCAAGCTCACACTTGCCCCAAGATCACATAAAGCATCCATAGCTTCCAAATCTCCAATCTTCACCGGTATTGCATAGCTACCGGGGTCACCAAGCTTTTGGGGAAGCTTGTTTTGGATGATTGCACTCACCTCCTTAGGAAGGGAGATGGTTGCACTCTCTTCAAGCCTACTCTTGTTGGATAGAAGATCCTTCAAAAATTTTGCATAGGTAGGCATTTGTGACATAGCATGAAGAAAGGGGATGTTCACTTGAAGTCCTCTCATGACTTCAAGAAATTTTGAAAACTTCTCATTCAACTTCTTCTCTACAATTCTATGAGGAAACGGAATGGGGGGCTTATATACTCTCATAGGGGGCTTTTCTATTCTTTCTTCATCTCCCTCGTCTTTCTTTGTGGCTCCCTCATCACTCTTTTGCTCTTTTCTCTCAACTTCAACTACTTCATTTTCAAAATCATCCTCACTTCTCACCACAACTCCCTCATCTCTCTTTTATGTCTCCTCCTCACTCATAACCGGGCCCTCATAACCCCTTCCCGATCTCAAAGTGATAGCCTTAGCTTGCTCCTTTGGGTTCACTACCGTTGAGCTTGGAAAGTGACCACTAGGATTGGAGGATGAACTTCCAACTTGTTGTGCAATTTGAGCCAATTGGCCCTCCATTATCTTATTATGTGCTTGGAGTTGTTGGATGTTTGCATTCATCTCCGCATTGTTCCTTATTTGTTGAGTCATGAAAGTTTCAAGAACGGACTCAAGGCTAGTCTTTTGAGGAGGTGGAGGAGGAGGAGCGGGTTGGTTATATTGTGATCTTTGGTGGTTTTGATCCCTTTGGTTGGGATGGCGGTATGGAGCTTGTTGGTTTTGTGATTGAGGTTGGTTGTAGTGGTTTTGAGGTTGGGTTTGATTTTGGTTGTAGTTATTTTGTGGGGGGCCTTGGTTGTATTGCTTCCATCCCGTGTTATGTTGGGGCTTCCAACTTTGATTGTGGGATTGGGAGTATTGTTCATTCCTTTGCCCAATTGCCGCCGCTTGCTCTTGATTCGTTGAGTTGCAATAAGAGGACAAGTGATCATTTCCTCCACAAGTCTCACAAGACATGACTTGCGAGGAAGAGCTTGAGGGTGTGAGGGTGGCTTGATCTAGCTTGTGAGCTAGCATATCAAACTTTGATGCAATAAGATCTATTGCACTAAGATCATGAATTCCGCCCTTCTTTGTTTGAGGTTGCCTTCTATCACCTCCATATGCATAATGCATGGCCACTTCTTCAATCATCTTGTATGCATCGTCCACCGATAGCTTTTTGAGGCTACCACCGGCCCCGGAATCAAGGTTGGCCCTTGAAATAGGAGTAAGACCGTCATAGAAGCTTTGTACAATGATCCATGATGTAAAACCATGGTGGGGGCATTTCCTTGTGTAATCTTTGAAACGCTCCCAAGCTTCACTCAATGTTTCATCAATGTCTTGATTGAAATTGGTGATCTTTCTTCTTAGTTCGGCGGTCTTTTCCGGAGGACAATACTTTCCAAGAAAGGCTCTAGTGACTTCTTCCCATGTACTCAATGATCCCTCTTCAACCGTTCTCAACCAATGTTTTGCTTTATCACGGAGGGAGAATTGAAACATGTGCATACGGATGAACTCTTCCGAAATGTTGTTTTGCTTGATAGTTGTACACAACTCAAGAAAGTTGTCCAAATGAGCAAAAGGACACTCATGAGGACTACCTCCGAATTGATCGCTTTGAATCATACGGATGAGTTGAGGTGAAAGTTCAAAGTTGTTTGCATTTGTGGTGGGAAGACGTATGCCACTCCGAAGTTGGAATGCGTTGGGGTGGTCATAGTCTCTTAACAATGGTTGAGGAGGATTCTCTCCCATGTTATCTTCTTCGTTAGTTCCAAAAACCTCTTCCGGATCGGAATCCGAATATACAATGGAAAACTCGGGTGTGCCTTGCAAGAGTCTCCTCACGTTTCTCAAAGTCCTATTTAGCTCTGGATCAACGGGAATAAGCGGTGATTGCTTACTCTTTCGTGTCATGCAAAGTCAAACAAAGCTAAGAAAAACGTTAGCAATGACTATCGCAATTTAAACACACATAAACAAAAATTAAGGTAAGAAAACTACTATACATATACACACATCTAGTCTCATTCAACAATAATACATTCAATGTGACTTTGCCTCCCCGGCAACGGCGCCAAAACTTGATAGGCCGTCGTCGAGCCTACCAAAGATAATAATTCCTATCTTGGTCTCACTAACAATAGTAAGGGTAAGAAAGGGTCGAACCCAAGAGAGGCGTTGAATCAACCACCGAGTACTACCGTTTAAATAAGCTAAACGAATTCTAAATTGGGTTGGTTTTTAGTAACTTCTTCTAACACAATTCAACTAAGCTAAGAGGAGGTTAACAATATTAAGAGGAATCTAGGGCTTGGGTTATACCACTCAACTTCATCACAAATCACAATTAGCATGCAACAATCAAGGTAAATTAATGGGATAAATTAGGGGAAGTCATCTAAAGCACCCAACTACTCTCTCAAGCTAGAGGGATTACTTGAATCATTAATACGACCTACTCTCGTGGTTACATAGCATAAAACAAGTGTTAAAGCATAATCACGATGACATAAACATTCCCTTGACCGGTAATCCCTATTCTCATGGCATTTCGGGTCAATCAAGCATAAGGGAGCTAACTCAAGTTCATCTCTCGATCCTTCGTTGAGAAAGCTTGGATAAATAGTTCTAGCAATGGCCATATACAAGAACTAAGCAATTAAACCACTTAAGCTCAACTAATTAACATCCCACAACAACCAAATTAGCACATGCAACAAGTAATTAGTGACTACATTGAGGGTTTTGCCCAAACCCTAGAATTTAGACTACTCACAATCCATGGGGGTTAAAGCAATTAAAGATTTCAAGCAATTCATGAACAAATTCAAACTAAGGATTAAGCTAATTAACAATCCAAAACATGCAAGAACTAGCAAATAATTAACAACAAAGTAAAGAGAAGTAGAAAAGATGAGTAAGAAATGGTTACTATGAAGCTTCAAGGTGAGCAACAATGGTGGATTTTGTCTTCTACAATGATTGAATTTGAATAATTCAAAGCTAATAATTGAGAACTAACTAATGATTTGAGAATTTAATGTTCTAAGACTACAAACTAAGAGAAAAGCTCTGAAAAACTGCCTCCCCCCGTACAAATGAGCTCTAAAGGGGTATTTATATGACCCCCAAATAAAAAGGACGGAGAAAACAAGGAAGGAGTTCGACTGCAGCTCTGCACGGACGTGCCAGATTTGGCACGGACGTGCAAGGCTAAGCACGGTCGTGCCAAGTTTGGCACGGACGTGCAGAGGGGGCAGAATTGAGGCAGAACGTACTGCTAAGAATCGAGCAGTTCCGCACGGACGTGCAGATATTGGCACGGACGTGCAGCTACATCTGCACGGACATGCTTAATTTGGCACGTCCATGCAGGCCTTGGCAGAATGTTCTGAGTTTCTGGAGCACTTCTGCACGGACGTGCAAAGTCTGGCACGGTCGTGCACCCTCTTCTGCACGGACGTGCCAGATTAAGCACGGCCGTGCAGGCCTTGGCAGCTTGCTGAAGCTTTCTGGAACCTCCTGCACGGACGTGCAAGGTCTGGCACAGCCGTGCAGGGTCTTCTAAACCCCCTTTTTTTCATCTTTTCTTCTATAATGCTCCTTTCCTTGGCTTCTTTCATCCATCTTCTTGCTTCTAACCTCGGCTTTGTATCCATGGGCTCCATTTGGTCGTTCTTTTGAACCTAGAATCTCAACAAAAACACCAACAACCCGTGAAGCATAGGATACACAAGAATTGCATAATAATAGAGTAAAAATGAACCAAAACGCAATTTATATCAAGTAAACTAGGTTCAAAACACCCTAAAATCGTATCAAATAGCAAGTTATCAAACCACCCAATTGGTCTTTAAACGATCAATTTAGCAATTCGCAACTTGCACCGATTTTGTGAACTCAAGCCTACCATGGACATTTAAGACATCATATAATGTTCATATCTGGTTTCAAACGGAATTATATGACCCTAAGATGTATCTGCTAGGGTCTCAACACTTTTCGCCACCAGGCCCTGTAACCTCAAAAATTCCTCAAAAAGCTTGGATAATAGCCTTCAATTTTGGAATTTTTTTACTTTTTTTCCCCATAAAAAAAAGTCCCGAGATGTTTACCATGGTCCCTATTATCCACCGGAAGTCCAATTAGGTGGGTGGAACAATCAATTTTCCTTAAAACGGTCAATTTACCAATTCGCAACTTGAACCAATTTTGTGAACTCAAGCCTACCACGGACATTTATGACTTCATTTAATGGTCATATATGGTTCCAAACGGCATTATATGACCCTAAGATGTATCCCCTAGGGTCTCAACAATTTTCGCCACAGTGCGCCGTAAGCTCAAAAATTCCTCAAAAAGAGTGGATAATAATAGCCTTTAATTTTGGAATTTTTTGACCTTTCTTTGCTCGGAAATAAAAATTATCGAGATGTTTACCATGGTCCTTAATACCCTCCGGAAATCCAATTAGGTGTGTGGAACCATCCAATTTTCCTTAAAACGGTCAATTTACCAATTCGCAACTTGCACCGATTTAGTGAATTCAAGCCTACCACAGACATTTATGAGATCATTTAATGGTCATATATGGTTCCAAATAGCATTATATGACCCTAAAATGTATCCCTTAAGGTCTCAACACTTTTCTCCATCGGACCCCGTAACCTCAAAAATTCGACAAAAAGGGTAGATAGCCTTCAATTTTGGAATTTTAAGACTTTTTTTTCGCCCAGAAATAAAAATTTCCGAGATGTTAACATGGTCCCTAATACCCTCCAGGAGTCCAATTGGGTGGGTGGAACCATCCAATTTGCCTTAAAACGATCAATTTACCAATTCGTAACTTACACCAATTTTGTAAACTCAGGCCTACCATGGACATTTATGACATCAATTAATGGTCATATATGAATCCAAACGGCATTACATGACCCAATGATGTATCCCATAGGGTCTCAACACTTTTCGCCACCGTGCGCCGTAAGTTCAAAAATTCCTCAAAAAAGCGTGGATAATAGCCTTCAATTTTGGAATTTTTTGACCTTTATTTGCTCGGAAATAAAAATTGCAGAGATGTT